GGCCATGAAACAATCAGCCAAGAGAGGGCCTAATGGAGAACCCATTACAACTCTATTATTATGACCTTTGTGTTTGTCGCTTTTCTTCATATTTGCCGATTGGACTATTATCTGACCCATAAATTATTTTCTTCCTTACCCCTTGATTAATACGTAACCTCATTTGTTCGTGGTATTCATATGTTGACTTCAAAATTTACCAATATAGTCAGTACACAGTGGCACTGAATTACCTATAAATTCAATTTCAGAATTTAGATTTTAATATGGATGTTGATTGATGTCGCATTTTAATCGTGATTAAAATGAGTGTTAGATCGTTTATTTTCTCGTTGAGCATAGCACATTCAGTAAAATCAACATATTGAGACAAGCTGCAGAAGTTTAGTTCACACGATGATTTCAAACACACGAATTCCGTTATACCGAATATTCCCTTAAATGCGAATCACAATCAAGGTGTTTGTTATGACCTTGATGTCTGGCTTTCTGTCACGCGACTTATCGACCAGTCAGAATACGACTTATACAATTTCGCACTATGCCAAACCAATGACGTTCAACCGGTATGAGCAGTTTAGCGTCCTGATTGGTCCTATGTCCTCCTAACCCTTCCACTTGAGTCCAGAACACAATGCCAGTTTCTGTAATATGAATCGACTCGAATCGAATCGTTTATTTCAGACATACTCGGTTTATATATCAATCAGACAGACCACAACGTGCCATAAAATAGAAAATAACATGTATACACAAATAAGCCCAAAAGTGGCTGTGAACGAGGGGGACAGTAATTAATAGACTGAGCACAGCTTAAGAATCGTAAATCGTACAATAATAAAATATAGGTCAAAATAAAGCTTATAATAAGAGGAATATAAATATACATAATCTAATTATTCAATAGTTTTACAATAAGAATATTTATAGAATATTAGTCCATTAATAGGCCTCGGGAGTTACTTGTAATTTAATCTTCACCGGGATATAACAGTGTTAGATGTCTCCAGGTGAGATGTTCTATGAAGAGTCACCATTACTTCAAATGAGTTACAAATGTTTAGCATTAAGAAAAGTAAGCAAATAATGGTTGCTATACTAAAAAGGCTTATGTACTGACGAAATGACTTAAAATTCTATTATTATCTGTTGGGGAGATCCAGAAAACTTCTCAAAATTAAGCCAAGAAAGGCTCTAAAAACACTGAGCAGTCTCATATCCAATCAGCGTTCACTAGACGTTTTGCCAGAAACATCTAGAACGTGAGACGTCACATGTCGAGTTTCTGATTGGACGATTACTCATACTGCTACTATGTTCAGTAGCATTCCAGAATTTTCCGGAAACCCAAGGATATCTTGTGGAGATAGGTCTGACAAGCTTATTTTGTAAATAGTTTTTAATATTATTTGTATTTGTCAATTTCTCACCGCATGTACATTTATCATTAAATGATTGTACCTGTTGTTTTAGTAAATGACCTTGAACACTTTTTCCGTTGTGATTCTAACATAGCGTGACATACCGTTGCTGGCTAACAAATACACTGCTTCTCTCACATTCCTCGTTCTATTTTCATTCGAAATTGAGTTAACTGAGATCTAAAACAAATATTATTTACATTCATAGATTGTGAGAGCGAATACACCATACCTTACTTTGGATTACACCACTGGGGAGTTCATCGATACGTTTGGAATTACCAAGCATCTATAATTGTGGATTTATTGTACCAGATTAAAGCCGAACACGCATCATTTTGAGTGAACTTAAGTAAAGTCCCATTTTTATTGTATTTGTAACATTTAACTGATATATATTAATATTACTATTGCTTTTTATTAACTTTGTTGATACTTTTTGCGTTTATATATCGTCTGGTCCACCACAATCTAAAATACTACAAAAACACTGGATTTTCTGTACATGAACGAACCTTTGGAGTTAGGCGTTTCTTCCAAATCTCGCGCCATTTCTCTCGTGTTCAAGTTGCTTTGTAGATCAAGCCTGGGTGTTACTAGAACAGCTTAAAAAGTGAATGTGGCGCTCAATTAGAAGAGTTACTACTATTGGATAGTCGGTCTGTTCTAGTGTGGTGTACTTCACTTATGTCGGCAGATGAGTTTTATGTAGCAACAATCAGAAGTTGAATGGCTGGCAACAGGAGACTGAGAACATCGAATTTAAGAAAACAGGAAGGGTAATATAAAGGAATTGTGAATTGGAAGAATCAGACAGAATGTAAAGGAAAATGGATGGAAGATTTGTGAATGAAGCATTTCTTGTATGGTCCTCGTATTTTACAAAGATATTCTGTAAGTTTGTATTAAATAGTAAATTGGTTATCCCCACCTGAGTCTCGTCCACGACACTAGTATATAGTATTCGGTTTAGGCTTGTCTTCGTTCACTCATCAATTTAGCCATCCAAACACGAGTCTCATCATAGGTTGAACAGGGTCCCAAAGTGACGCTGTAAGTAGATAGTCCAGGATGTCAACTTTCCATACATCGCATGACAATACGGCCATGGTGTAAAATAAGAAAGTTATCGTAATAAATCTCTATCACTTCTACTCAGTTTAAATGGTATTTGTAATTTTTTAAACGGTAACACACAAAACGAAATTTATAAATCCCTCAACAAGTCATTACTCATGTAGAAAAAAATTTACACTGTCAGTTCGGTATAAAAACAAACTTAAAGTAGGAAACGTAACGGAAACAGAATTCTACATGTATGGGAGCTACAAGGTATTCAGATTCAAACCAAACACTTCTCAATGTTTGCTCTTTTATGATGATCGGTGAAGCTCGTTAATAACTAACTGCTTGACGATAACTATAGCAATACAACTCACAGCATCAGTTGGAATAATAGTAATCATGGTTTGCTCAGTAGACCAGAAGTGTTCTAAGCGACCAGTTTACAAGACGTTAGGAGTGGTCATTCAATGTATAGTATTACACATGTATTTAAATTATCCAAAAATACATAGATTAGACAGCCCAAAAAGCAACCTGTTTCCTTTCAAAAAGCACTGCTCAGAATTCATTGACTTGGCAATTCAACGAGTTTCTCGATATCCTCCTTTACTGTCTTTCAGACTAAATATCTTATGGTTTCATGTTCTGTCACAATCAACACTGTTATTCCGACTGATTTGACATTCTTTATGGCTAGTTTCTCATCGTGATAATTCCAAATTGTGATTAATTGTTCAACCGTTCAACTGGTACATAATATGCAATCCAGATCAATTTCATAAATATCAATGCTCAATCCATACTGTGGTTTAGGCAGATCAACTGCCCCTGTGTAGTTTCTGATAACTTAGTTATCGAATTGTTGATTCACACTCACTGATTGATCTCTAACAATAAATCAGCATCTTATGCAAATGCTCTAATATTGTAAACGACCAATTTCCTTGTGTTAATAATAGTAATATTTAGTGGTAATGACTCGTCAAGCAACACACCTCTTCGCGTACCCCCCAGCTGATTTCTCATTATTTACTAGTCTTGTTTATTCATTTGAACACTAATGATTGAACTGATAGATTTCAATATGCGGAAATAGGCAATAGATGAACATGTAGTGTCAGTCATCATGTTAAGCCCATATACTTTATTCTAACTTTCGGACAGCCCAATCTATTCATTCTACTTGAGTCATATTTTGACCTTGTCAATTATTCGCTTATCAATCTTGACTGTTTTTTATATGAGCGCATATCTGTGTACACTTCATATCCCACGTCTTATCACATGTTTGTAGTTTATTTTGTCTGCCTATAAATATTGAGTAACGCCTGGCTAAAAATGAGTTTGCTTACCAGCTATCTCTCCTGCGCGTCATTTTGCTTTGTTCTATTACATTCACTTTACATACAAAATATATGTATTCAAAGGCCATTCTCGTTAATTGACTTATCTAAATCCCGTTATTGACTAACGTGATTTAAGTTGATAATTGTATACGAGGATAGGTGATAACAAACATTCTTACAATCTAAATGGAGTCAGATCCACGGGCCACTAAAAACACTTGAATTTAGTGAAAGAACAAACTCCATCTTTTATTCCATTACGTGTCTATAAACTTACATGTATGTGTTCTGTTTTTATCCCTTTGAATATGCACAGTTGAAAAAAAGGATGGAACTTTCTTCATACAAAAATTACATACATATGGCATTTCACAGCAGCATACCTTCTTGCTACTGGTCAATGCCGGGTGAAGTTCCATATGCAAATGTAAAACAAACAGGTAGAAACACACGAAAGTTTGAAAAACGTTTCTCATCTCAACTGATAATATTGAAAATGTTATTCTACTGATCACCAATATTTGGAAAGAAATAAAAAACAATAAAAATAGAAACAAATAGATTTCACAATACAAACAATTATTTAGTAAATAAAACAAGTCTACATAGACAAGCTATGAGGAAGATTTATAATAATAATAATAATAATAATAATAACAATAACGATAATAGTAATACAATATTTGTAATGGGTGGAGTTCAGTTGATTTTTCATTAACTTATTTATTGAGCATGTCTCGTCTTGGAATTTCTTTGTCTGTTGTCTATACAATAATTAGTGGATTGATCGGTTTACCGATTGATATGTACTTGGAGGTTGAGGGAAGACAGAAGTACTAATAATATCAATCATAGTTATTTTACAGTGACGTGTAAACGAGGTGAATGTCTGAGAAAGCGAACGAAAGAGAGGAAGGAAGGGTTATTTCAAAAATCAAAGAATCTTTTGCGTCTTTGTATCTGTGTGTGTGAGAGAGAGAGAAATGGCAATTGGAAGACAGAACTACGAGTGTATGATGAACAACATATAAACAGTTTGCACAACCATGATGAATTTCCAGCAAACACGTTCACTGTGTTGTTTACATTTTTGTGAGAGAAATACAAGGCGGTTGAAAGGAATACCTCAGTAATGATAATAATAATAATAATAATAATAATAATAATAATAATAATAATAATAATAGTGATATTGTATCAGGAAATTCTATTCTGTTGTAAATAATTCATTAAATCCATATAATCTCGATGTATCCCATAAGGATGTAGATGATACAGCATATATTCATAGAGATACATCTCTTCAGGTCTAATATAATGAAATGAGACAGCATAATCACTGCAACAATCGAATCCCTGATTTCAATCAAATGGGGAGAATAAAAGTCAATGTAATGATGATGACGATAATAATAACAATAATATACCAATAATGTGGGGAGATACAGTTACAATTTGAGGTCAGCAAAGTTTGTTGAGTAACTGCACACTGAATAATAAATAGGTCAACAGAACATGATTATGCGACAATAATCTTACAATCACGAGCAACCCTCTCTAAACATTTCTACGCTACATGTGCACCTCTCATCTAGTATATGCTTGATTGTGATAGCGTTACAACAAACACAGTTAGCATTGAGCTCCAAAGGCATGTCGCGATTTTTCCTTTTAAAACTGTTGTTTTTACTTCAGAGTTATATTATTAATGTGTTTAATTTACTCAACCCCCTTCCACAAGCACCACATAAATGTATCTTCTTTAACACTACTCATTTACGTAACTGTTAACTAGTATTTGTGACGTGAAATTTCGTGCCAAACTTCAATGTCGCCATCTCAAACCTCAGTGAATCAGTTATCAGACCATCTCTGTTACAAATTAGTGAGAGTGTAGGGAATTTTTCAAAAAGTGATCTTTAACGATATTACACTCATTATTCTCGACTTCTGTTATTTCTTCGTTTGGTTTCTGTTGTCACCACCAAACAGTACGTTACAATACGTTATCCATCTACTCGTCTACCTTCTGTGTTACATAACACTACTCAGATAAATCCATCTAAAATATATATATAATGGGGACAACGTTGAAATTTGAATTATCATAATATCATTTTAGTATCTGAAGTATTCAGTAGCATTCATGATATAATGTGTGATAATGTTATGTATGGTAGGGGAAGAAGAATAATCATTGCTTTCAGAAACTAGTGTTTTGTCTGATTCTCAAGGTGGCCTGCTTGAGCATCTGGGCTACATGTTCCTGCCATCTAGATATTTCGACAAGTTATCTATCTTTGTTTGTTTTAATATATCATTATGTCTATTAATCACATAACCTAGTCTGCTGCGTTTCTGAAAAGTGTACAACCTTTCATTGTCAAAGTTACAAAAAGCTCAAAAAGAGAGAATATTGTTGCTGGCAATATACAACGAAAAGAATGTACATTATTCAGATATTCATTTACTGGACTGTTAACGTCTAGCTGGCGATCACTCAGTATTTATCGCGAGGACCGACCAAGAAGAAAGAAATGGAAACTTGTTGAAATACTTTGTGCTGAGAATTCTATATTGTACCAATAATATAATATTGAATAAAGCTAATAATAATAATAATAATAATAATAATAATAATAATAATAATAATAATAATAATAATAATAATAATAATAATAATAATAATAATAATAATAATAATAATAATAATAATAATAATAATAATAATAATAAATATAATAATAATAATAATAATAATAATAATAATAATAATAATAATAATAATAATAATAATAATAATAATAATAATAATAATAATAATAATAATAATAATAATAATAATAATAATAATAATAATAATAATAATAATAATAATAATAATAATAATAATAATAATAATAATAATAATAATAATAACAATAATAATAATAATAACAATAATAATAATAACAATAATAATAATTTGTATAGTTTAATATAGACTTGAGTGAGCATTGGAAATTATCCTTTACATAATTGATGCTGAAACTCTTGTTACATTTTCGCCAACCATAACCCTTTCCGTGGATAGCATATTTAAGTATAGATATGTTTATTAGTAAAACTCACTGTATCTATTCTGTGGTAATTGTACTTTAGGTACCATTCTGGGTAGCCGTTTGTGTCTTTTGTAAGCATATGTGATGGAGAGAACGGATGAAAGCATTCACGTCCTTCTGCATCTAGACTATCAATTACTGAAACATTTGTAGCTTCAGCACAAGATCCTGTAATCAATGGAGGGAAAAGAAGATGTATCGAATAAGATTAGCATTGAATTGTTTCTTTTATTGTTCTCGAATTTGCAGTATGTCAAAACACATAAAATGAAGTCAACGAATAATAGTCTTTCCAGTAAGTTCTAATCAGGTTCTACGCTTTCTGGGTGGTCCAGAAAACTCGTAAAAGCCAGGAAATGCTCAGGAAACACTAAGTAGCATTTCATCCAATCACTGTTCACTAGAAGTTCCTTCACGTCAATGCAGTCGAGAGAAACGTTTTACAAGGTACCAGCACGCAGAATTATCGTAATGACAGCAACAAACCATCATCCTCACACTGGTTATGTGGCGTTTGGCGTTCTAAAAGGTTTTGTCCTTCTAGAAATCACCGATGTACTATGTGTTCTAGAAAAGGGCACAAAGTAAGTCATTGCAAAACCTGGAAACGCCGTTAACAGACAGTGTGTTCTAAAAGATTCAAGCCACGAACAGCTAAAGTAACGGTGGCTCTTCACAAAGCCAGCTCACATAATCGTAGAAAGTATGTTTGTCTCAAGATTAGTGGGTATGATGCCCGCTTACAGTTAGACACAGTCTCCGAAATAACACTTATAAGCAGGAGAACGTGGGAGAAAAATATTGGGAGACCGCGAATATATTCAATTCATCAACCAGCACAAAGTGCATCCGGGGGAATTCTAAACATTTTTTGTGAGATTCATTGCGAAGTCACAGTCAAAGAGTTTACGGAGAAGGGAGTAATATTTTTGACAGAACGTCCACCACTCGACTTATTGGGGCTTGACTGGATAGAAATGTTGAAGTTTTAAAACCGTCCCATAAACTCAATCTGTAACAACGTCAGTACGTCGAAAGTTGAAGAGAAAAACTCAGTGGAAGCATTATTAAAACGACATAAAATGGTATTTAGTGATGGTCTTGAAGAATGCAGTAAATTTAAAGCTGCTCTTACCCTTCGAAATGAATCAAAACCAGTGTTTTGACCTAAGAGACCTGTACCATATGCTGCCTTCCCACTGGATTAACAAGAGCCACAACGACTTCAGAAATTCGGTGTCATAGAACAAGTGAATTTCTCAGAATATTGGTAGTAAAGAAAACTACTGGCAGCGTCTGTTTATATGGCGATTACTCAACTGGTCGAAATAAAGCCCTAGAAACTCATCAGTATCCCTTACACCTACCTGAAGATCTTTTTGCTAAACTGAATGGAGGTAAGCTCTCTTCAAAGTTGGACTTATCAGAAGCTTATTTTCAAATTTCTTTTGCTAATGAGTGTAAAAATCTGCTCACCGAAAACACACACAAGGGTCTATTCCGGCATAATCGACTACCCTTCGGAGTCAAGACTTCCACATCCATATTTCAGCAAGCAATGGATAATATGCTACAGGATGTTCCAGGTGTTGCAGCTCATCTGTATGATGTGATAATTATGAGAGTAGATAGAATCGACTTGGAAAGGAAGCTCGACCAGGTGCTGTCACGATCAGTCGAATATGGAATTTGACTCCGTGTGGAGAAATGTAACTATTGCATGCAAAATGTACGCCTCCCTGGATTTGTAATCGACAAAGATGACAAAAGACCAGATCCAGAGAATACCTAGGCAGTGAAAATTATGCCTGGACCGACGGGTGTCCTCACACTACGATTCTTTTTGGGATTAGTTAGTCATTATAGAACTTTTATTCCTAACCTTCATCACTTACGTGCCTCCTTAAATAACCTTCTGACGGAGAATGTAAAATGGGATCGGTCTGCAACTTGCCAAGCTGCTTTTGAGGAATTCAAGAAAATACTATTCTCGGATCTGCTGCTCACCCATTACGATCCATCCTTACCCATCGTAGTAGCATCAGATGCTTCAAACTAAGGGATTGGAGCAATTATGTTTGGTGATAGAATCGTTATTCCAAAAAACATTACACCACAAGGTTCTGAGACAATTCCGCTACAGTCATACCGGTATCAATAAGATGAAAGCGTTGGCTCGAAGCTATGCTTACTGGCCTACAATGGATGAAGATATCAAAACCAGATGCTGCAATTGTTCGTCGTGCCTGCAAACAGCTGAAAGTCCAAATAAATATGAACCACAACAATGGGAAAAACTTAAAAATACTTGAGAGAGGCTGCACGCAGCTCTTGCCGGCCCAATACGAGGGAGAATTCTTCTAGTCATAGTGGACACACTCACAAAATAGCCACAAATCCGAACTGTTTAGCTGCTTTGGAGTTCCGGAGACTTTAGTGACCGATAATGGCTCACAATCCACTGCAGAATCACTCAAGCACTTCTGCAACATTAATGGAATTGTGCATATGCGCTCTCCACTCTATCACCCTCAATCAAATGGACAGGTAGAGCACTTCGTGGACACATTTAAAAGAGCACTACTGAAAGGTAAGGGCAAAAGGTAGAAGTCAGGTAATTAAGAAATTCCTAGCACATTATAGAACTACGTCAAACCCCATTGTTCCAGATGGGAATTCCCTTGCTGAAGCAATGTTCGGGAGAAGAATCCGAACTATATTCAACGCCATGTTGCCACCTAAACCAATAGATGGACGCAGATAAAATCAGAATATCCGGAGTTTTAACGTGGGTGATATAGTGCTCATCAAGTCATACATTGGGGAAAATCGTTGGCAACCGTGAGTCATTGAGAAGAGAATAGGAAATGTTTTATACAAAGTACTTGGGACTTTCGGAACGTGGATTAGACACATTGATCAAATATACAGAGAATACAGAACACTAAACACGGTATATAGTCGAGTGAGTCTTCTGGGAGAGATAATTACAGATGCTCCAATGGCAAGAACCTCAACAGACACTCATAGACGCTGGATACTAAGAAAATCCGAACGTCGCAGAAAACCAGTTGTCAAGCTGCAAGTAGACCAGATAAAAAGTATCATTTTTCGAAAAGAGGGGAGGCGTTGAGGAGATACAGAAAATTCCTCGAAATTAAGCCAAGAAAGGCTCTGAAAACACTGAGAAGCATCATATCCAATCAGCGTTCACTAGACGTTTTGCCAGAAACATCTAGAACGTGAGACGTCACATGTCGAGTTTCTGATTGGATGATTACTCATACTGCTACTATGTTCGGTAGCATTCCAGAATTTTCCAGAAACCCAAGGATATCTAAAATAATATAAAAACACTGGATTTTCTGTACATAAACGAACTTCTTGAGTAAAGTACTTCTCGTTTGTTTTGCTTCTTTTCTCTCGTGTTCAGATCGCTGTGTAGTTCTAGCTTGAGAGTTACGAGAATAGCTTAGGAACCGAATATAGCGTTTAATTAACACGACTTATCATACGCTTATACATCGTGCAAATTATAGATGCAAAAGCAATGCATGGGATCTTACAGTGATTAGTAGAACAAAACAGAATTGTTAGTTGATAAATACATATCAACTATGTACTACCAACTCCAATTATTGTGTCAACTGTAATTGTCAGAATGATAATGAGAATAGATATAGATGTCATAGTGTAAGACAACCGATGGAAACCCAACTGGAAGCAAATAACTGTTGCGTCCCACTATAAAGCTACTCTATACTGAGCACCTAGACTTCATCCAAAAATCGAATTTAATGTCTTCAGGATTTCACAAACCGTTCAGACTAATCCAAATGCATTAGGCCGTTTCCATGTCATATTCAACGATATCAATTATTATTCAAATCAGTTGTTGCATAGTCATAATACAATCACGTCACACGCAAAATTAGTATGTATACCTACCAAGTTTCACGTCTTCAGCGAATGCATGTTTATTACTTTGACAAACGGCATTATTTTCCAAACCATTAGCGATATTCAACAGACCAGCTCGAGATAGCACATATCCTCCACCACCGGACATATATCCTTGTTTAACAAATGGCTATTTTGCAAAGAAGAAGAATGTGAAGGACATAGAAGAATATCATGGATTAAGGAGAGTGAAAGTAACAATTTAGACGCATTATTTGTAATAACAAGTATTTGAATATCTCAAATTCTTATACAAATTAAGGTAACACTGGGAACTATTTAGATGCTCTCTGATAGTAGAACAACTTTTCTTAACCTGAAACTATGATCTTTAGAAATTCACTTGAATTATTGACAGTTCCTGTCATGAAACGATTTGATATTCCCCGCCCCCTCCCCAACTTCAATTATCATGAAGATATTCTGTTTACATTTATGAAATAATTCCTCACTTAAGTAATAATACGCTGGGTAAGTAATCCGAGTAATCACAACATTCAGTTCTAATCATTGGTCAATCATATCCTATCTGTTAGGTAAATCAAAATCACTATAATCTTCGTTAATTATTGTGACCGAACACTGATGATTACTCCATTGATGAACGTGGTATTTAACCGGAAATAGCCTTTTCGAACGGATATAACATAAGTGTCACCAAAATCACTTGGATCAGTACCAGGATGATGGAGTGTTTTTATCAAATACTAATTATTTTGTACATACCTAACCACACAATTCCGAATTCAATACAATTCAAGTGTGTAGACTGTGTTCTCTGTGTTCAGTCCCGATCCATTCATCACTATTATACCACACACAAGTTAGATCTGGGAACTTGGATTACATTCGGTACTAACAGTGTTGCTACTATTACTACCATTACAGAATATCTTAACAAACCTAAAGAGGAAATAACAAAAAGAGAGAAGACAAACATCTTAGCAAAGTGAACTGCTTCAACTGCAATAAAAATCACGATGGACAGAGTGGCTGCCTTCTTCTTCATCATCAACAACATTAGGTGTCTGAGAAGCACCATGAGTTATCTTCGCTTATACCTATGCATGTGGACAATTGTAGACACGGATTTGATTGAGAATATGTTGAAATCTTGAGGAGAGAAAATACAAACAAAACTAGAGTTTTAAGTAAATCGGAGCAGGTCAAACAGCAATCAGTAAGCATATGTGTGTTAATTCGAACATCCCATTTCCCTACGAATTTTGTCAAGATGCTGTCCAGAAAGACCACAAAATCTTCAATATTGAACTACCCATCTGGGAGAACGCTAACCCACCTAAATTTGTTTGACATTTTACTGATTTGGCCACCACAGTCACTTTAACATACTATCGGTTGATTGTATTATCTTATCACGCAAATAAATCTTCTTGTCGAAAATCAACTACTCCATAGATATGGAGATGCACAACTCACCTTGAATCGTCTGCCCATGATAAATGGTTTATCGGGATTTTCTTTATGTAAAATTTTGCGCAGATTCTCTACAATCACATATGAATCATCATCCGCCTTCATGAAGTAATCGTAATCATTGGCATAATGTTTTGCCATGTATTTTATGGCTCCAGCTGTTTTATTCCACAATAAGTTGCGACCTTCAGCATTGATAACAGCTACAATTTACGAATACATTGATATATTCGGTGGTGATTGGAGTAACTAAACAGACAGATTCAATGACAATCATAAATGATAATAACCAACACGGGTAGACGGAGTTCATATGGGAAGGAACTTTCACTAACCTCTGGTGGACTTGGACTGAATGATGATAGGATTTATCTTTTTCTTAAAATTCAAACTTGGCTTAGAAGCCAGGTAATTCAGCCAATTATATACATATATATTTCGGCTCAAGTTGCCACATCACATTGGCTCAAATGTTAGGGAAAAACCAAGGGCAGTAGACATAGTAACAGTATCAGTGGTAACAAAGAAAATTAAAAATAGAAGATACGATTCGGGAAGGAAATATGAAATTATCAAAATGATTGAAAACTTCATGTGGAATTTGGGAACTTTGAATATAAGACAAGACGAAGAATGAATGCATCTGAGTAATTGAGAACAACTTTGAGCATTGTTACTCAAAGTCTCCAACCATTGTTTACGACGATCACGCGGATCTCAACCAGGTTGTATGCACCTAACTACATGGATTGGTTCAACATTCAATGCCTTTGTGGACTGATGCCACATTTTGTTTATTGTCCTCCCCTGACTTTTTCCCAAGCTACTAGTTGCACCAGCCATTATTACGCATCCAGTTAGTTGGTAGTTGGACATGCATAATGCATATCCCAACAATCTCAGTCGATAGATTCATTACCTCGTCAATCGACTTCCTATAGTTACCTGGTGCTGTGCGTTCAACCTCAGAATTGTCAAATCGATGGTACAAAAATATATGAGCAATGATTTGAAGACATTGATGATCAAGACCTCGTAACCCAAGAATATCATTTATTATAAAAGGTATGTTTCTCACCCATCAAGTAGATCGGAGCGAAGTGTCGAGCAGTTGACAGACGTATATCTTGTGTGCGCCACAAGTGAAGCAAGTTGGTAAACGCCAACCGGCCTCTCTCCATCCGTGTCGAGATTCCGTCAAACACTAACCCACTAGTGTTGATGAGACTTTCAAGTGAAGTGAAGTGAAGTGGTCGACACAATCCACTATTTCACTCGCTATCGTCAAACTCAAGGTTGGCAGAAACCAGTCCTTAAGTAATATTTTGCGTTACGATGAAGTGATACGCATCACAAACACGCTCGCACTGTTGATTGATTAAGGAGGTCAAGAGACCCTGAGTGTTGTCAAGGTATTCACCAAATAAAAATATTTCCTCTAAGTATTCCGAGTCAACAAATGAATCTTCTGGTAGATCAATTTATCATAATTCACACGATGATATTATTATTATTATTATTATCTCAAGAAGAACGTCTACCAATAAGTTAAATGGAAATGGAGAAAGTGGACAACCTTGAAGAACACTACTTGGAGTCATCGATTATCATTCTCTTTCGAAGCACCATGAAAATGTAGTTTTTTTGCACATTCTGCACCAAAATAGAAAAATCATTCATTTTCGACATTTCTACAAATTACAAACTGGTTATCTTTATTCTGATTGCATTATCCTTACACTATACTTTAACATCAGATATATCTATTATGAAATCCCACACAAAAGCTCTTCCTGATGCCTAATTAACGTTTTGTTCGGTGAATATATTTTTATCTGCATCAGTGTTTTTATAGTTGAGTCCAGTCTTTGTTTGTATACAGTTGTCAAAATAGTACATTACATGCATAGCTACTTGAAAAATTCACTTGTGTTAAGATCTGTATAAGTCTCATGTAAATCGAAACACATTGGTAGTATCGATTAAAATGTTTAATTTTTTTGTAACTGAAAACAATACGACAATATTCATTCGTCCAATGAGCTTCGAACAATATTATCTGAGTACTCTCAGTGTACATACACACAGTGTATATTATGATGTCTAAGATAAATCATTATTTTAAGATAACACTAATGTAATGTTTCTCGTAAAGTCAGTTATATATTGCACAACAATCTTTTCCACGTAACACTATATATCCTGTACACTTATTTTCATCTCTGCCCAATATAATGAGATATTGTGATCAGGATAGTTGGTCATATTTTTACTGAGACAGTAACTGATCAATGGAGTTGTACAAAGATCGTATCATACCATAAACGCGACCAAATCAAATTAATCAAATGCTTGACACAAAGCATCTGGGTTTCATCTTTCACCAACAATGTATCCACGATATAATTTGATCTGGATAAAGGGTTATATAGTAGAACACTGATTACTACTGCGGTGTGTGCTACTTATATTGACATAAGTTAGTAGTGTACATGTTAGCCGTGAACAGAATGTCTGGCAGCAGAGAGACAAGAGGATCGAGCAGTAAAGAATGGAAACAGAATGCAATTTGTATCAAAATGCAAGGACAATGAAGTCTGAGTCATTTTGAGACAATCGGTGGATATTTTGTAAATAAAGCATTTACTTTATGATTGCTAGATTTTATTAACAAGTCCTGTAATCTTGTGTTGAATACATTAGATTGTCTCCACTGGCGTTCTTGTTCACTACACTACTACTACTACTACTACTAATATTACTACTACTACTACTACTATTACTACTACTACTACTACTACTACTACTACTACTATTACTACTACTACATAATATCCGATCAGCGTAATCCACCTACTTTACAAAGCACTGTTGAGGAGTCCCACAATACGACGGGACGACTGTTCCGTGCTTTCAGGTTTCCCATAGTAGTCTAGCTTCAACCGATTCATGCTCTCAACTATTGAGAGTTCTTCTAATTTTGTAAGATGGTGCAAATTTTTATTGCCTTCAAATAGTTTTATCATAATTCATTAATCTATAGCTATTCCGTGATGAAAATTTTCTTTTCGACGACATCATTTACTTATGCTGTACATTCGTACTCATAGATATATGGAAAACATGTCTATAGAAGGACAGAACATAGACATATATTCTCCACATATCTATGAATACGAATGTACAGTCTAAGTAAATGATTTCAACGAAAAGAAAACTTCCATTGCTAAATTCAATGACATAATGGGTTATTTTAATTACCATAACTACTTGTTATTTCAATTTATGCTTGTAAACATGTGTTTGTATAAATCATATGGAAAAACAATATCAAGTGAATTTAAACTTCACCCCATTGCACAAGCAAGTGGCTATCAGAACTCAATAGCTGAGTAGATGAAGCGATGGAGTTTGAAGCGAACGGTACTGGGTTCGAGTCCCAGAGTGAATGAACTTCAACTCAGATGCAGGTATATACAGGCGACGGATCCTAAATAGGACGAAACGCGCGTCAAACTGGATTCCACTTCTGGCCACTATCTATCTTTGCTTAGAATGCTTGTGAATTAAGGCAATATCAAGGCAATACAAACAGTATGCACATGCGCCAATAACAGACTGATCAATTGCAGTGCTAAGCATCAATAAGAAGATTCAAGTAAAAACAATACCAAGTGAATTTATTCATATTGAAAGATCTATTATCAGAATAAATATTGGTCAGATAGTGTGAGAGAAATCATAGTGCAATTACAATTCGATCAAATGTTTAGCGAAAGACTACATTGTGTAAAAAATTATTAGTAAGGATGAACGTGAAGTAAATGAATCGTGTATTGGGGAGATGAATAATGATCTTTAGCCAATAGTAGTAGTAATAATAATAACAACAGTAATTTCCACTTAACATACAAGCAGATTCAAGTCAACATTCCATATGAGTCATAAAAACATGAACAATTTTATTCTATTTTGTTTGACAATCCTACAGTTCACATGCTTTTACTTTAAACGATGCACTTTACCCTTGACCTGAATATTTTTCGGATTAATAATTTGAATATATGGATTGTAGAACCTGAAGAGAATCTATCGAAAACAATATTCTTCGTTCATAGATTAGTCTTCTTAACATGATGGGGATCTTTAGACAATAAATATGTTTGTATGCTTTGATCTCATTTACAATAAAAAACAACGATTATAGGCTAGAATCATTGATTCAAGAGGACAGGCAAACACTAGAGATTGAACGTTCTTACCAGGGTTTGTAAATGGTATGTTGTGTTCTCCAAAGTGCAATAAAACGTCATGGTGGAATTTAAAAATTGTAATCTTTCCGTATTTAGTTTACAGCTTAAAGTAAACACTCCTTTCTCAAATACCTAGATGAGTAGACATATAAGACATTTAGGAATGGAACCAAATGTCCCTGTATTTTCTAATGAATACAGTATTCTCGGAAGCTTCAATATAAACACGAGTCTAATTATGAGGCAATATAGTGTATTCAATGCTCTCAGAGTAAATAGTAGAACCTTAAATGTTACACAAGATTTAACGTGGGTTTCTACTGATCTAGTCATTAATCATTTTCGTTCTAAATTGGATTAGTGTCGATAATGTGTTACACATTAATTACTACGGTTTGACTTGACAATCAATGCTGGCTGGTGCAGGAGGAGGTTGCATAAAATAAGGGGTGGAAAGATCGGGACGAGGATTCAATCACGGAAGTCAGTGAATGTTGATATGAGTCCAATTTACCGGCTTAGTGTTCCCGGGATAATCATTTACAACATTTGGAGACGTTGAGTGGTATGACTCGGAATCTGATGCATTAAGATAGATGTATGCATTTTAATAATATTTCCTTAGATTTTGAATTCCAATACTTCTCCATAATTTTCATTGCACCAAATAATCCCCTTTTGGAGATTATTTTCTTGATGCTTACTATCACTGATATTACTATCGTTTCGACTGTTTCGTTATCTAGTCTGGTCATATAGGTCACAAAAACATGAAACAGTAATAACAATAATAATAATAATAATAATAATAATAATAATAATAATAATAATAATAATAATAACGATTCTGACAACTGGACAATCAGTGACTTACCTATTGAAGGAAGATGCGAATCAGTTTCACTACTAATGAATAAATAGTTATTACATCGACCAGCCCACGTAGCTTTCACATGAACAGCTTTTGATTTATGATTCGCTGGCATTGTTAGTATCCAACAGAACACACGTACTTGTTTAGCCAATACGTTAGCCAATGTTGCCTCGGCTACAGGTAGGAAGGAAAGTATACAAGAATAGAAACAATGTAGATTCGTCTAATTCTTCCTCTAAGACGAGGAAAATTAATTTGACATTCGAGACTGCGAACTGCCACCGTTTGTCTGAATAAAGTAAGTCAATTGGCATAAACAGAGAAATTGACTGACTGACTGACTGAGTAGTCAAGAAACTTAACTAAAACAATGAGAACAATTAAAACAATGTTCACTGAATTTTCAGTAGGGAGAAAATGCAGTTAATGCATCTGTATCACATGAGCTGACATATACTCCTTAGTAAGAGTCTTGAATCTACAAATCTCGTGTTATACTGACCACATTTCGAAGGTACCCGTTCACTTACACAACTTATGAAAAGAGTTAGTTACTTCACAGATCAACACAAGTTCAACATAGTGAAACAGATGTTGTGCATTGATTCACACTCAATAGCAACACACCTAGTGAATTGGAAATCCGAAAAGAACTTAAATGTATAGACGAGACAAGACATCCTCCCGGAATACTCTACTTGAATTTTTATCAGAATGGAGACGACATATTTGTGACCCGATTGGCCAAGCTGAAACGAAGAGAAGAAATAATGAAAATTTTAAACATGTCTCTACCTCTAAGACTCAGTGTTTGAACAGCTCATCATCAGAAGTTAGGTGGTACAGTTGAACCACCACAATAAACATGACATAGACCTCCAAATCCTGGCTGTCAGAAAAGTAAAAACGTATATCGAAAAAATGAAAACTCAACCAAATCTAAGGAAACAATTTGAAGCTCATCATATTTTCGAAGATATGCTGGAAATACTGGATCTAGATGAGGGTAAATTATTGAAAATTTCAACAGTATGGAGAATGACACAAGCTAACTTGTTTCAAACGAGGTCCATTCCACTCTATGAGCTATCGATCAGATATTCCACTTTTTGGGATTTTACTTATATTGTACATGGATCATTTTCCGAAGTTCTTAAATTCGAACTACTCTGTCGGTACTGTCATTTCTCCTGTGTCATCTGCCATATCATTTGATTATGAAACTGTTTCATTACAAGTAATAAATATCATCAATCCTGGAAAACCGAAATTTCTCAAACATTTCTAATCCATTAATTCATAAATCAACATACTTTCTAGATGTAACCACAACATTGCAACTCATCACAGAGTAAGGCAGTCAATTTGTTCTTCTTCTCCATGAATATTTGCAAAACCATCAGCTAGCACATGTATTCAGCCAAAGGTTCCACACCCACCCAAGACATTTCTCACTTGATTAACTCATTAAAATTTTCACGGTGCGCTCACGAAATTTGTGTTGAACACGATCCACTAGTTCGAATTCTCTATCTTCCACGTCTATACATCAATGCCATCACTAAAATCATTCCTGTATAGATTCCATGTCGTATTTCGGTTAATGTCAATTCCAATAAACCTCATCACACTGTACTAACATGTGTAGTTAGCAAGCATGTTTCGGTTCCATTTGAAGACACACGCCATCACATCATAAATATTCCTCAAAATATTGGTGATCACTAAATACTATATTCCAACTTCATGAATAAACAATGGAACATTTATTATGAAATTGATTGATTCTGAACTCCATTCTGTTTACATTTTATTTGAGATAACACTAATGAGGATAATAGATAACCGTGTACTCTGTGTTAGCCAACCACTCTCATTGGCTAATATTTATTCATAGGAAATAGCTTTGAAATCTTGTAGACACCACAATGTTCAATTTTCATATTTGAATAGACAGAACACAAGATATGACAGCACTACCTGTGAGAAATGCACCCAGTTTCGTATTCCTGCTATTTTTACACCGTACATTCAACTCAGTTATAGAGAAACGACTGACTACATTATGGTGAAGGTACGTAAATTATGGTGATCAGTCTACAGATAATCCAACTGCTTTCATTTCTAAACCAGTGAAATGTCTTCAACTGTGAATGGGGAGTTAGTAAATAAATAACAATGGCTGATCGTAATCACGATAATCTCTCTTGTTTCTTTGATACCAATGCCATTTTTATGCTGTATTCGTTCGCTGATTAAGAAATAGGTTAAGTGAATTCCTGAGGTTTCCGGTGAAACATAGGAAAGACTTTGAGGAAATTGTTGAGACGTGGAGGGTTCTTTATGGAGCTAAAACTGAAGGGAACAAGTTGTTTCCAATAGATGAAAGACCTCAGTGAGGGCTGTCAATACTAAAACGATGATGAGAGCTTAACACTTTCATCGAATACCTATGTTGATAAAATTCACAAAAGTGTGTATTGTTTCCAGCTTTTACGTTTCCAATTCACTTTCTGGATGAATTATGTGAGTATGAGTTTGAGAAAGTTCTCTATTTATTTGGTCCAACAGAGTCACTTAGGATAGATAGAGTAAAATGTGAAACGATGAGACGACTGAAGGGTCTGAATTCAGAGAGGTGCATAAATGTTTTCAACAGTGGAAAGTAATACGTGCCAAATGCGTTTCTACAAATGGGAACTATCTCGAAAATGGATAAGATTGATGTACGACAAACCATCCACTCAACTCGCCTACTTACTTAGTAAAGACACTGGTGACTGAAAAAAATGATTCACATTTATAACGACTCAGTTCGTTAATATTTAGCTAGAATTCGGAAACTACAGTCTGAATCATAGATGGATATTTCGAGTATTGCTTCAACTGAAAGCAATTTTTAGAATAATCATTGAAACCATTAATAACAACTGTGGTTTCCCACTTCAAATCAAAACCAATACACTTACCTAAATGTTGTAATGCATGTTCGTGTATTGAATCGTTCGAAAGAACTGTAATTTTCAGGGGAACACGATAAAGAAATTGATAGTCATTTTAAGTTAAATCTAACCTACTCAACTGTTTATATGTATTATCGTTTGCTGTCAATTTCGGTGACTTGGCTGCAGACAGTGCTGCTGTATACAAATCCTCTTCATGTTGTACATAGTAGAGGTGGACAATTAGTCCTCCACCAAACATACCGATCGTGTATATAAGAAGCATACGAAAGAATGGTGATAATTGCATAAAGACTCGAAATTCCTAAGATCAAAATGAGAGAGCGTTAGTACCAACTAACAGAATTTACTTTTGAATACAATTCCAATCAGAGAATTGTTATGGAAGCATCATAATCATATCACTGTTTCATCTGATGTAACAAATAAGTGATAAACTTTATTCGTGTTTATGTTTGTATGCCTGAGTACCATGTGGTTCAGTAAATTCCTAAACGTCCTTTCCAATGTCATACTTGTTTACTACAATACCATTTAATTGGATCCATTCGACTTTGGTGAATAGAGGAGTTTGATTTTGTGTATTTTCCATGGGGAATTTACTACAACGATTTCACCGTTATTGGGTAGACGTATGAGGATTAATAGACCAAATTCAGAACAGAATGTGTCCACATATATACATTTGATTGCAACATTGATTGATATCAATATGAATCTCTGAGTTAATATAATTTAAAGCCGAAATCGTGTTCACATATAATTGACGATTGTTAGTCAACTTCAACATTCGGTTCATTAAATTAATATGTCGCATACATTAATTGTCAAATTGAATCTCTCGACTCCAAGTTGGATAAGTAGCAATTAGGAATAGAATGTTCATTTCATCACTATCTAACTTGTGTAAAGCGGACGTTTTTGATACACGGCACAGAAATTATCATAAATCACTAATAATTATCTATGGACGTGTTACAGAACCCTTTGACCTCTGCCTTTCTCCAAATGCATCTCGTCAACAAATTTCAATAATAATATCTAATAGACCAGATGATTTTAACACCATTCTTGAAGCGTAGGATCGAGATGTAGTTTGGCAATTCCCAAACGAATGCAAAACCTTTTTCTAATGCTTTCTGAATTATCTATGTTTCACCTCACCGATGTCATATCGTGACGTAAACCAAGTTGAAACTAAACATATTGACATAATGAACTCATTTAAGTAATCATTATGTCTCCATCAATGATTAGTTTCAAATGGCCTTCATATATTCTATACAAACTCTATTGTGTGGGGTCGTGATCGTTCAGTTGTGCTGTATATATATATATATATATATATATATATACAGACTGAATACCACAGATTAAGCAAAGTGAGGGATTAGTCTTTGAGTTACTAATGTTTACCAAGGTACTGGATAGTTTTATATCCAAAATGAATGTAGGTATCTCAAAAAAAGTGTATGAGAAGTTTACTATGAAAAAATAATTAAAACATTCAGCAGACTATATTTTCAATTTCATTGTTTCTTCTGTCAAGCGTTCTTTAATGGTTGCTCATTTGTATAGGAGGAAGTTAGCTTGTGACTAAAGTCTACTAAATAAGGTCTCAATCATGTTTAATCTTTGGACGCCCTATACTTTTGCACAATAATTCACTAGTTAGTAGCAACCGTTGTCATGTCGATTCGTTGGTGCTAATTAAATTCCATTCAACACACTAAAAGAGCGAAAATAGGGATAAAACATACTTTCCAGTAGGTCCATAAATTCCTTAGTTTGATTCTCGGAATATCAGTTATAGTTTTAGATTACTCGGTAAAAAAGCGGAGAGAGTATCATTTATGGACAAACCAATCAGGTATAAGATAACGAGTCACGAGTTTTGGCGCGAAATTCATGCATTCTTTTGGCTAAATAGAGTTTATGTCAGTTCGTGATGAAAACTTTAGATCTAATTTTCAACCCTAACCATCAACTGTAAATGTTAATTCTACTGCTTTATAATCTTCATTTCGTACTAATCAGTAGGTGTCCACCTTCTAGGTCACTTCATCGTCACTCAAAGGTTGTCCATAAATTATACTCTCATCAAAGAAAACCACTAAGCTATTCAAATTGTATGTATCGAAACGAATTCCTAATTAATTCACAATGCAATTGGTATGAGTCAAATGATGACAACAAAGAGTATGTTCTTTTTGATATTATGGAAATCGGATACGGTATTACTTAATTCAGTCTTGTTAATCGGGACAACTCGTAAGCATGGTTCATAGCATTCGATCTGCACTAATAAGGACTTGACACATATGATATTGATCACCACCCAGTGATCAATCAATTGTGATTACATCTCAGTCCTACAGGAGTTCGGTCCCGGCCCGGATAGTTGAGTTGTAACGTCTTCGACTGTGAAGCTAGGTGACACGGGATCGAATCCGTCAGGGAGTACCAGTTCTCCCAAGACAACAGGTACACCTTGTTGACGAGTGCCAAATAGCACGAAACTCGAGTCCAGGGTGTCCTGTCGACTACGTCCAACCACCATCTAATCACAACTCGTAAGTATAATTATTAATTTGAAAGTATAATTCCATAAATCATTGAGACATTAATGTCAATGATACCAATGATACAACATTTCATACATAAAGATTATGATTGTATTTTACAACAAGGTACTAACAAAAACAACTAACTTGTATGAAACAGTATGAATCGTTAAAACTCCTTTCATTTAAATGGGTAAAATCATTGTCTTATCTCTTTCCACTATCTATCACTTCTTGTTTAACCAATTAAAATAGAATTTAACAATTTACATTGTGATTGGTTTATTTTACTTAAATTCGATCGTAAATGGAGAAGATTTATTGGTTGAAAATGAAAATATTGACCAGTTATTAGTATTAAATACACACATATAAAAATCGGAAAAATATTAAGACCAAGCAAGGTTGGATCAATAATTTGAGTGGTAACAATCGATTACTTCATTTTCAATCTGTTGCTAATGCTTAATTGTGTTATTTAACAACAAAATATTTCATGAATAAACAATTTTTGTTTATTCATTAAAAGAAGATCACTTTGAAATATATCACATAAATATGATAGTGAACATTTACATTATTTCGATAATACAAGACGAAGAAGACATAGTTTATTAGAATTATGTGATGATGTCTTTGCACAATTTGATTACACACACACACACACATGGTATACTTGTTAAGACATTTTGATATGAAAACTAAAAGGTCAATAAGACAAATGAAAAGTAAACCGTAATAAAGAAATAATAATAATAGAGTACACAAAAACAACGTGATAACTATACTAGATAATAAATCAGTATTACCAGGGTAGGTTAAGTGTAAAGACATTGTTTTTGTACGTATAAAGGGGATAATCGAAATCATTTCGAGTGATTTGTCGTATACGTCCATCATTCCCCAACAGAGTTCTTTCCCGTCTCTTACATATAGCTGAAGCTAAAGGATTTCGTACATTTAACCCTAATTTATGTGTACAGAAGAAATTCGTGACCCCTTATCTCTTCTATGGCCGAATATAACTTAACAAATGACTTTTTTTAAATTTAATTTATGTTACCATTAGCATTATTTTCACAATTGGTATTTATTTGTAACTTTCCACGTCTTTCCGTTTGTATTCTTCACTATCTAATTATTTACACACTTATTACGTAATGATCTTAATGTTTTGTGATGATTATTTTAAGTTTCCGTATAGCCAAGGCTTCAACAAACCTTAGTATACGTCATTTTGAAGGCTTTTGTACAACACTGCGAAATTCTGACTTGATGTCAACCTTATGACTAGTCTCCATCAAATGTTTCACAATGGAGGATTATATCTATCTATCCTATGATCTGATTTGACCATTGGAAGTATATATATGTAATCAGATTGTTTGAAATGTATTGCGCAATTATATCACATAATTCTGATAAACTTTGTCTTCTCATTGCATTATCGAAATTCATCAAAGGGACTAATTAATTGTTTCAAATTTCTGAAAAGAAGACTCCCTACACAGATTATTAAAAGGTTAGATGAACTTGTTAACCTTATGAACATATATATATATATATATATATATATATATATATAAGAAATGAATGAATACGTTGTGCAATTTGACAATTACATTTTTTATATACAAAATTTCGACATATACTTGATGGGGGTACATACATTCCTTCGCAAGGTAGCTAGAAACGCCACAAAGTAGCACGTTTTTGTTACCTTTACAATATTAACATCATACGCATAAGGAAACCTGAACTATGGGTTCAAAATGACTTTTTCAACACCTTTTTTCTAAATTGTGATTCACAGTTTTCACAAACTATCTCTCTCTATTGTCCTAGAACTTATCATTCTACTTTTCGAGGCATTGCTTTAAAATTGCATCGTATGATGAGATTCCTTAACAAAATTATTCACTTTTGGCTGGTTTATATGGTCTTCCCTATTGATTTTTCACATGTTAACAATTTCGTGTTGACTCACAAAATAAGAAAGATGGAATTGTGTACTTTGGTTTGTTTTGTTTGTATATGACTGTGATTATTTGTTGTTATAAAATACACATACTGTGAGTTGTTATTTATAATGCATACGATATATACCATGCGGCTTCGAGAATGAGTCTTACAAAAAAATTCTCTTCATTGAATCACTCACTCTCGGTTCCAAAGAAAAAAGTTTATATCCATCCACCATATAGAGGTGAATCCAATAGTTTAGTTTTAAGACAGAGATTGAAAGCAGCCATAGAGAAAACCTATTATGCTGCTCAATTGGTTGTGATTGAAAAGTCTAAGCCCATGATTCCAAATAGACCTAGACAATGCACAAATGAATACTTTACATCTCATTGTATTTACCACTTTACATGTTTGTTTGGACACACATACATAAGGAGGAGTAATCGAACATTGCAGTCAAGGGGTCATTGAATATGTGACTAGATGGCTTCAAAACCAATTAGTGTCACGTGATCCGACAGGAGGTAGAAAAACCATGTTCATCGATAGCGAACTGTATAATTGAAACGGGGCACAAAATTGACATTAATACAGCTTTTAAAACGTTTTATACAAATTGTCAAGGACGAATTCTCAAGTCTACTGAAGCCTTGGCTATTCGTAAATTTAATTCCTCCCCCTTATGCAATTTGTCGTAACCTTGAATTTACCCTGGTAATCCTCAAGTCATTCTATGGCCTAAGATAACGCGACAATTTCTTATTCTTTCTCTCCCCTTTGTTACTTTTGAGATTATGAGTCAATTGAAGTTAGACCACCATCGAGAACCTGAAAGCACTGGACGGCCGTTTCGTCTTACTATGGGACTGATCAGTAGTGTGCGTACAAGATCCCGTCTCGCAAGATTCGAACCGACGACCTATCGGTCTCGTGTGGGGTGGGCTTGTAGATTCTCACTGCTGAGAAGTCCCACAGTAAGACGAAATGGCCATCCAGGTTTTCCATGATAGTCTATCTTTTCAGTCCAGGTTTTCAATGGTTCAACATCAATCGGTTCATGATCTCTACCAAAAAATCAGCTTCAAACTATGAATACATTCATTAAATTACCTTCTTTCAGATCACTAATTTTCATTCTTTTAAATAGGAATTATCATTTCATCTAATAATTTTTATTGATGAATGAATGACATGTGATTTCACCACTTTTTCATTGTTTACAAGTGGTAGAGTTGAATTTATACTTCGAATCCACTTGTAAAATATTCACATTTTAGTGAATAACTTTAAAATAGATCTTACGTATGCCTCTGGTGGTCATAAATTTTGATGTTCTAATGTTTGCTTGCCTAACAAAACTGTCTCCTCAAAATTCTACGCACAATTCCTGCTGGTCTTTCCCAAGTTCCTTCACGATGACATTCACGAGGAGGACTGTTGTGCCATTCTATACCCCGTTCAATCATTGCTTTGCATATAATTTTATGCATTGTAACTCCCACTTTAACCCAACAAATTAGTTCCTCAATCAGTGTATATTTTCTCGGGCACACCCCTTCGGTCTATAATTCGTGACAATGCCATCAAAAAGGAATCTCTTGATAGTACACTAGCAATTTCCAGGAGGACTGTTCATGCATCGAAATATATCAATAGGCAACAGTAGCAATTTTGAAATTTACGACCCTCTTTAATTTTGATCGGAACGAAATAATCTACCCCCGTTGTTGCGAATGGAAAGTCGGGCGTTGCTCGTGTGAATGGCAAATCATTCATCATTTGTGACATTGATTTGGCTGATATTACACGATAACTCATACATCTATGTATAACTGTTGTTTGCAACAGAACCCATTAAGATCCGCTACTTCATATATAGGTTCGCTAATGTGTGAAGCATCCCCACATAGTAATGTAATGATTCCAGTTGTAGGGTGCTTATTAGGAGGGCCATTGGGAACTAGCTACTATTCAATCGTCCTTCTACACGACAATCGGTCGTGTTTCTGGTAGTAATATTGCCTGAGGACTTGTGTTGCTTTATACAATGACTAGCTCGCCCGAATCCCTGTTTTCGTACGTAATAAAACGAATATTTATCGGTGTTATCTAATTGATCGAGAGTGGGTTTTTTGTACAGGTAACACTCAAATCGGATGACCCAAGCTGTGCATCTTTTGAGTTTGGCCTGTGGTGGCATTGGACCATAACCACACAATCCTCAAAGCTGAACACGAGACAACTCGGAAAATAGATATTCAATATTTAACGCGGAGAAATACCGAACGATGGAGAAGGTGGGAACATGGAGTTGAATTGATTGGAGTTGATCGAGTGGCATGGCTCGACCTTGCAAGCGTGGTCCTTGTTAAATGTTATCTTATATCTTTTATTCATATTAAATATATTGTTCTATCTCTAGCCTAAGCTTGTTCTACATCAAGTATTGATGATCGTTACGATACGATGAGTTGGTGTAGACGATGGTATGACTTATACGTAAGATCTTATAGATTAGGCAGTTATATCGTGACAAATCTACAATTTTAGGATTAGGTCTATTACTAGAGCAGTACTAATATCATAGTATACCATGATTCTACAGGCCCATGATGAACAATATGAGATAAGTCTATTCAAAGCAAATAATATGGTCTTGGTTTTCAGGACCTTAAGCTTCTTTATCTCCAACTCAACCAGCAACCTCAGTATATCGTCTCGTCCACATTTAGGCAATTGGCCCCTCTTAGTCACTAGAAATTTAGGTCCCGCAAGCTAAATCTCAGCACAAATAACTAATACAAGATGAATTAAAGCAAATATAAGTTAGCGACTTACAAGCACACAATTATATACGTGGGGGAGGTTGCAAACATGTCGTTACCTTTAGTCAACAGCTTGGTTTTGTTTATTCTGCATTGATTTTGTTGCTTCCTCTTTATTAGGGTTTCACCTTACTAGTAAAGTTGAGCAACATAAATCTCTGTATTAAAGGAAAGAAAATGATTTTAAATATTTTCATTATTAATCATGGAAGAAAAAGTATGCATGATCAAATGATGAAATGATTGAAAAATTATTGTTTTTTTGCTTAGATTTTTGCAGAGATTTTGTTTTCTATGTTTGCTACTGATAATTTGGATTTGCGAGGAATAAAAGTAGTTTTACAGCTTTTGACTGATAGGCGGCGTCGTGGATGCACGCTGTTGAGGAG